GCTCGGTCAGTCACGTGACAACCAAACGAAAAGAGGGAGCCCCACTAAAAAGCTGACAGGGAAAAGTACTCGCTTCACGGACTGCTGTGCTTCCTGAATTTAGGGTCAGAGAATCACCACCATTTTCGAGAGTAGGAGAAGATTTTGCGGGGCCACCTTATGTAAAACAAAAATCAGTAGAAATGGTCAAGGCTTACGTTGCATTGTTTACGTGTTGCGTGACAAGAGCAGTAGATTTAGAGTTGGTGGAAGATTTGTCTGCGGTGCGGAAACACTGGGCAACGCCAGGTTGTCATTCGATGAATTGTCGACTCTTTTAACAGAAATAGAATTCATACTCAACTCGAGACCGCTTACATACGAGTACAATGAAACTGAAGGAGAAGTGCTGACGCAATCACATTTGATGTATGGAACACGAATAAAACCATTGCCGAATAGATTGTAGAACCAGATGATGCGTTAAATTTTCACAGTTCGGCGAGATTGAAGTGTCTTAGTGCAAAATTAGGGCAGTTTTGGAACCGGTGGCGTAAAGAATATCTAGCGGATACTTGCGTTAAAATTTGGGAGTTTTCATTAGACATAATGATAAATTGAATTGTGAGACACAAACCTGTTGCCTTTCCTCCCTCACTAGCTTCTGGAGAATCACAATAATAAAGACCATCACTATCATCACCGTCACAATCTCATAGATCGACAACGACGTCATCGTTATCAACACTATCATCAATAGCATCAGCATCAGTTCCCGATCCATCTAAGTGGGAGTATCCATGTGTTGGTACTTCTCGGTATCGTGTACCGTTAAACTATGGGCAACTAATCTACTTAGCTCAGACTTTTGCCAGCAAAATACTGTGTTAAAAACCAGCGCCCGGTTGTTCAAAGCTGGGTCAAGATAACCTATAGGCTAGTGGAAATTGAAATCAGAAATGGAAGCTTAGAACGTTGAATTTAATTCTTCTTGTCTACAATTTGATTTTCCTCCCCGCAGACGTCCTTTGGGGTTCGTTTGTCACGCATTCATTTCTCCCCCACGTCCAATTTAGGTTAGCGCTAAGCGCCCATCGAACGGCTAGGCCCAGAACATTTCTATTTGTATATATTTTTCTTATATGTTAATTAGTGGGGGCATCCCTAGTATGGCGCATTGGTGCTTTTGGTTGTCTCCTTCTCCACAACTTTTTTTTTTTCTTTTTTCTTATAGTGGTGTTAGCTTATTTCATTTCATTATTTGATTGTAATGCAGTGGAGTGAATGTATAATAAATAAATAAAAGTAATAAATAAAAGTTGACCACACGCAAGTTGGGATAGTCACAGTTTTTCGGAGTATTACGCATTTAAGGACTCAATTTTGCCGTTATGAATAAAAAAGGGTCTTGAGCCCCGTAATACTCTTTACGAATTATTTTACGACAGTTTGAAATTTTTGAAATTTACAAGGATTTGTATGGGAAACCACTCAAGCTTGACTGGGTGGCAAGAGTTTTTTTTCCCAGTTTTTGACAAATCCTTCTAATTTTCGGCGGCCCTTGCGATCGCTTCCTTTGAGATATACGGCTGAAAATTTACAGGTTACCTAATTTTGATACGCGTTTTGAGCTCCTGCGTACTAAAAAATGTTTAAAAAGCGAACCGTATTCGTGTTTACATTAGGTTGATCAATGCTTGATCAACTAATGCAAAAGCCTTGTTATTTGCCAAACAGCTGACACTTTAAAGTACCTTATGTTGGAGTTTCTGCAGTTTTTTTAGTATTATTAATAAAAATTATATGAATTTTACAAATAATAAATGCAAAACTTAAAAATAAATTGAAAATGAAACGAAAGAAAAAAGTAATTACAATACATTATTATGCAATTAACTATTTCATATTTTCACAATGGGCTGAGAAATAAAATAGATTACCCGGTAGTTAATAAGCTAAAAAGAAAAAAAGGGAAGAAACTGAAAGAAAATAAGATGACGCTGATCTAATAAGTAAAACAACTATGTGGCTTAAAGGAATATGTATCAAGCGGGAGTTACACTAGCATTCATGTTTTTTTTTTAATTGCTCTAAGCGGGGAGATCTAATAGCTATGGTACCGGTGCGTTGACTTCCACACACATTTCAAGCCTAACGAAACTTTTCAAAATACACACACTTTGCCATCCTTTAAACTGTAAAAAAGGTTTTATAAAAGGAGAAGCGTTACGCAACTGGCAAACCAGACTTTGAACACAGAGTCTGTCAACGGTGGCTACCCCTAAACGCTCGTTTAAGAAATACTGACTGACTGAAGTTAAGTTCGCCGACCGAAAAAAGGCTCTTTGCAACAAAACAAAACAAGCAAAAGATGTTTCACCGTTTGTTACTACCCACAATTCGGCGACACCGAATCTCAAAAAGATTCTTATGAAACACTGGCACATCATTCAACAGCAACCTTACTTAGGCCCGTGTCAAACGTCGTGCTTATTAACTGCCGTGCCGAACTAAATTGATCGAATTAAATTCGACGCGCTTCTGCCATGCCGAGCTCAATTCATAAATCATGAATACATTAAAAAACATTTAAAAGCTTGGTAAATCGTTTCTTAATTTTTGTGTTTCGCTTTCGGCAACAGCGGTTCTATTCGACTGAACTAAATTCGACGTTTGAGACCGTGTATTGCTAGAGTGCTGCAGTCGAGCTACAGTGGAGCCAGCTTAGCATGGCGGTAGTACGACGTTTGAAACAGGCCCGTTAGCTTAAACAAAACTTTAACCAGAGACTGTCTATGCTATGGTTCAATTTTATCCTTGGTTTAAATTTTACCTCCTTTGTTTCAAACTCATTATCAACATTTTACATATCCCAAAAAAAAGGAAAATAAAATTTAAACCAAGGATAAAATTGAACCACAACATCTGCTAGAACCAGAAGAAAAATCCCTTAAGGACATTCTACTCCGCACGAAAATTCCGTCAATCTCGCAACGATCACAAAATCAACGAGGCGGTTAAGAGACTGAAGCAAACTAGATGGCAATTTGCATACGATCACCTTCACTGACTCAGCATAAAGAAACAACGACTGGGCCAGTACATTATCAGATCTTTTTTCCCATAATACTATCACTGATCATTCTTATTACGAATGTAGAAGCTGAGGAGTCGTATAATTTATTAAAACTCTAATTACAGTGTAACTGGGCCAATAAACGTAACTTTACTGATCATTTTCACTCCCTCTATAAGCCGTGAAAGTTGATCTAGATCTTGCGAATGTGGAAGCTGAGGACTCGCAACCTTTATAAAAAACTTTCAGTAAGATAACCGTAAACCTGGTCGTAGATGATACGCTCAAACACCTTAGCTACTATAGGGACGATAGAAATTGGGCGATAATTGTTTAAGTCGGAGTGATTTCCCTCTTTGAAAAGTGGAATAATTTTTGCGCATTTCCATTCCTGAGGGAAAATACCTGATCTGATGGACTGATTAAAAATAGAACACATAGGATCAGCAATCAGATCGGCGCATTCCCTAAGAAGTCGCGCAGATATCATATCTAGGCCTGTGGCTTTCGATTTACAAAGCTTAGACAAAAGCGAGAACACTCTAGAAGGATCAGTACATTTTAACTCAAAACGTTTGTCAGTTCCCTCAAGGTAATGTAGGTGTGATGGACCATTATTAGAATAAATCTGGCTAGCAAGCTTGGGTCCAATAGAAGAAAAGTGATCGTTGAAGGCATCGGCCAGCTCAGGAGGGCCGTAAATAGAGTTACCGTTGCTTTTGATTTCTTTTATGCAACAATTATTAGTTTTCCTTGACGTGAGCTCATTCACAATCTTCCAGGTCTGGCGCGAATTGCCTTCGTTTTCATCTAATGCCCTTTTATAATAGAGCTCTTTTGCTTTTTTAATTTCGTTATTAACTAGGTTGCGACATTTTTTAAATTGTAGCCAGTCATTAGCATCCTTAGAACGCGATGCTTTCAATTTAAGAATATCTCTGTCATGCATTCGTTTCTTTAAGTAAGGTGTGATCCAAGGTGACTTTGAGGCGCGAGCCCGTTTTACATGAAGTGGGGCATGCTTGTTTACGCATTCCAGGAATAGTTGTTTCCATGCAGCCCACATTAAATTAGGATCAGAATAATTTTCGATGTTACTCCAATCTTGTTGACATATATCGTTGCGAAAGTGATCAGAGTTAAAATTCTTAAATTTCCTATATCTCAGGGTAGTATGCTTATACGTTGTCGATTCTATAGAAACTTTACGAAAGGCGTAAACTAAACTGTGGTCGCTGATGCCTATATGTGAGACCCCTGAACAGACGACCCTATCTGGAGTATTTGTAAAAATTAGATCAATTAGAGTAGATGATTTGTCGGTAATTCTAGTATATTCGGTTATTAACTGATCAAGGCCGTAAATTTCAGCAATATTAGATAAGATATTTGTACTGTTGTCAAACTTAGGCGCGGCCATATTACAATTCAGATCTCCTAAGACGTAATATTCGATATTTTCAGAGTCTAGTTTTCCAATAAGTTCTTCAAATGGTTTAAAAAGATCAATAGAAGAATCAGGGGGTCTATACCAGGTCATAACGGCAAAAGGCCTTGATCTGGGTTTCTTGATTTCGACAGTCAGACTTTCTAAGTGTTCACATATTAGGTCAGAGCGAACAGAATAATTGATTTCGGAACGAATAAAAAAACAAACACCCCCTCCAGACCTACCGTTGGTAGAGCGATCGCTACGAATAGATTCATAGCCAGAAATATGAATTTCATTATCGCTTATTGTGTCATCCAATTTAGATTCGTTTATGGCTAAGATATCGATAGGTCTGTCGGAAAGCAAAATTCTTAGTTCGTCAATGTGTGCAGATAGACTATTAATATTTAGCGAGGCTAATTTAAAGCCTCGTTTAGACGGGAGAAGTTCATGAGAAACGATTAGATTTCCAAGGTCGCGATTACGCTCTGAATTAAACGAACGGCGAATAGGTCAATTACATTCATCTAATTTATTCGCGAAGTTGTTATACATTTTGGCAATACCTGTCTCACCAAGATGAAGTCCTCCTCTATTTAGGTCCGTAGAGTGAATGTCATCGTGGCGTATGAAGTGCCACTGACGCTGATTGCAGAATTTTCGAAGCCTTTTATTGACAGCATCAACATCGCCGCTAGCTGAGAGGTCCGATCTTGTGACCAGCTCTGATATTATTACTTGGGCATCAGTGGAGCTTTCAATTTCCCTCGCTAGGTCAACGATGTTATCGGCGATTTCGCTAGGGGATAGTTTTCCAATGTCGTTAGTACCAGCATGTAAAATGATCTGGTCAGGCTTCTTGTCCAGTGTTGGTTTCACATAATGTGACATATCACTTGTTGTAGCTCCCGCGAAGGACTTTACAACAACTCGGTGGCCAACCTCTTTCCCTAATTGCCACCCTTGTATGTTTCTGATAATAGAATCGCCGATAATGACGGTGGTCGGCGAGGGCCCTTCTTGGTTGTGGTTAAGAGTATTAGAGCTGTTCCGAGAACTCTTGTTTGGCGGCTTTTTCTTGCTCGATTTGCTTTGGCGATTCTTCGTTGTTTTGGAAGATAGAGATTTAGATGATCCTTTGTTTTGCTTTGTGTCCGCCTTTGTATCCGACCCCTTTGTATCCGACACCTTAGGATCAACCGAAGGCGACTCTTTAAAAGCTTCATTGCTGTCAGGGCGAAAGTATAGCTCCTTGCTTAGCAATGATACTACCATCTGTAGGGAATCTCGCTCCTCTTTTGTTTTATCTAGATTTCCCTTCATTAGCTGAAGTTGCTCTCGCAGAGCGCGATTTTCTTCCTGAATCCGTTGTTGATTTTGACACGATTTGCAGGTTGACTGAATTTTCCTATTGTCTGTTAATAGAGATAGATTATAACCCCATTAAAGATGTAACAAAAAAGAATTTACAGTTGATGATCGACTCTGATAACTCGAACTTTCAAGGCTCGTATCTGTGATATACTAGGTTCGCCTCAGTGTGGGAGTAAAATATGATCGGGGATGAACACCTAGAAATTAGATACTATAGCAGTGGTTTGGGCTTATATAAAACGCCTGGTTTCATGATCTGAATTCAGTGACGAAGAGTTCGACTTAAGACGAAGCGACTCTTTGCTAAAGAACCAACAGATTTCAGCGAAGGGATTCTTGAACAGACAAAACAATGCAAAAGCAGCCTAAGAATACCAGGGTGAAATGCCGGAACGATTCTTTCCAACCAACGTATACCGGTCGATATTCTAGCGGGAAGGTACGAGTTATTGTGAGCACAATCTTCAGAAAAATCACCAGATGGCCAAAAAAGATTTTAAACTAGAACATGGATTGAAATGCGGCCTCTGACTAGCAATGTCCTAATCAGCAAAGCAAAAGAATCTAAATCATACTCACGTTTACTCAAAATGTTGAGCCGTGCCTACCCGAACTTTCGCTTTCAAAGGCTGACGGTCGAAGGAACCAGAAGTCTCGCCGACTATACTGAGCGCAAAGCACGGTGGGACTGTGAAAGGCAAGTGAGGTCTTGTCCAGACCCCCTTCCCTCCGATCTTAGGGTTGATTTACAGTGTCGCGTAATTTTTACGTGCGTACTTGCGTAAAATTTACGTTCGCAAGTAAAATAGAGGCAATGCATGAAAGGTCTTTCGTAAAAGTAAAAGTTGAACCTCGCTCAACTTCTCGTTTGATCTCAACACTTTATATCTCGCCTCTATTTTATTTACGTGATTAAAATTAGGGAGTTTACGCAATGACAACGACGACGGCTACGAAAACGTCACTTAAAAAGTGAGTTTGCGCTGCCTCAAACGTTACCGGGCTTATTCCATCTCGTTTAATTCGTCACACGTTGGCAATTTTTTAGGGAAAAAGAAAAGGAAAAAGGAAGTTGTTGTCTTTTGTTCCCGACCCTCGACAAAACGTGAAATTAGGCAGTTTCACGTTGTAGTCCTGCAACGACGGCAGAGAAATGTACAAAAAAGCGTGATGCAAGTGTAAAGTAGTTGTTTTGCTTGTCTAAGGGCCTGTTTACATGGAGGTGAGGGACCCCAGGTAGGTGAGGTAACCCGCTTAGGTAGAGTAACGCGCCTGTCCATATAATCTCTTATTTTACTTGGATCGCGTTTACATGATAGGTGGGATGACCCGCCTAGGCGGGTAGCCCAGTCTGCCAGACCTGGTAACCCTCTCAGCCGGGGTCAAATTTTGCCATGTAAACGTTTCAAGGTGGGGCAACCCGTCTAGCCGGGGTCTGATTCGAAATACATCAAATTCGAGCAAAATTCATTTTGGCGGTGGCTTTGCATCATTATTAAAGGTAGCAATAGAAAGCCACAGCACTGAAGGTTGCAGCAAGATCAGCAAAGTGAGTGTAGAAGAGCATTAATCGCCAAAACACGAGGTTTGCCAGCATTTTTCTTGTTTACGTGCTTAGCGGCCATTCAATAATTTTTAATATGTACACCCCGGGGCGGCGGAGTTGTAAGATTACATGAAAAGGAGGATTATTTTTTTACCCCAACCTAAGCGGGTTACCTCACCTACCTGGGGTCCCCTACTTCCATGTAAACAATCCCTAAACCTATCGCTTTTTTGCCGTTCTCGTTGCCGTCGCCGTCGTCTTTGCGTGAACTCCCTATTTAAGCGCGTTAACGTGCGTAGCCAGAAACGCGTCCGTGGAAATCAACCTTTAGACTTGCTTGGTCATACAGCGCCGGACAGAGAAATATTGGGGCCACTGAACTGCACGAGACGTTTTTCTTTCACCGTCGTAGGCAATTACTTTTAGTGCAATGCAAATTAAGCCTGTCATACCTCGTTGTTGAGGCTTTTACAAATCTGTACAAAACTTTGGTAAAAATCAAAAATATAAAATGAAAGAGTAAAAATGAAATTGCAGCGTATGGATGCGAAAGCTGGCCGGTAGGTTAAACGTTAACGCCTGTTGTAAAGGTTAACTTTGATCGAAAGTTGTCACAATAGGAATCATGACACGTCTCTTGGGGTTTTCAGTCATCATATTTATCTTAAGGACAGCTGCATGAAGACCGAAGAACTTATGCACGCTTAAAAAGTAAAGCGTGAGAAGTGTTTTGCTTAGAAATAGAGAAATATTTGCATTTCCACGGCAATAATGCAAAGATAAAGTGTCACATCTACCACACATTTTCTAATCCCGTAGCAAAAAAAGGAATGAATTTAATAAAATTTTTACAAATGTAATTTACAAGTGTACCTATTGTTTTCGGAACCTAGAACAATGGCTACCACTATAAATAACACTTGTAAAAGTTTTATAAAAATGGCCCCAGGATTAAAATACCTGTCAAGAACGTTCAATAGCATCCAATAGCATTATTATCGATTTTAGAACTTACTAACCAATAGAAACGTCGCATTAATTTATTCAGCCACTTATTTGAAAACAAAAACACAAAGGATTCCGGTGTTGTCCAACCACTCACCGTTTGCATATCTCCCATTCTAATACCTTATTTACTACCCCCCACCTCCCCCTCCAAGAAAAAAAAATTGCATCAGCGTTTTCTTCGATTTCCAGTTCTTTTGGGACGAGTCTAATACCCAGGGGAGTTAAAACTGACAAAGATTATGTAAAATTTTGGGGGAAGCAAACAAAGCGTATTGACCACTCCAGAAAATACCTTAGCATACCATAATGCTCTTTTTTGTCACCCCAAAATTTTCCATAAGCATTGTCTTCATTTTCTCTCGGGGCCATTTGAACTCCCAAGAGAAAGTGAACACAATGCTTATGCAAAATTTTGGGGTGACAAACAAAGAGCACTATAGTATGTTATGCTATTTTATGGAGTGGTTAATTATGAAGATGGGCAAATGGCGAATGTAGCACAATTCAGATAGTTGTTTGATTACAGTCGTCCCAAGAAGAGATCGAAATTAAGTAATCATTCAAGAAGAATGTTTTAGAATGTTTTCATTTTCACACAGACAATGCATACATCTAAACCTACAAATTCACCATTTTCACACAGGCAATAATGCTCCTTGTTTACCCCTCAAAATTTTGCGTCACAGTTGTATGATCTTCGATTTCTCTTGGGATGACTGTAATACCCAGGAGAAATTGGAAACAATAGTTGTGCAAAATTGTGGGGGGTAAACAAGATGCATTATGGTCTATGTGAAAATGGTGAATTACACAGTTTACGAAATAAAATTTTTAAGCCATTTTCAACGTTTTTTTTTGTGTGTTGAAAGTTTTCGACCTATTGTAAGAATTGCAAACAATAACCAAGAAAAGTGTACAATTTTACATGTTCCCAACGTAGGATGAAAATTTAGTACTTTCAACAAGCCAGGCGTCTAAAAAAATAATGCACATTACTTGGTATACACTGCTCAAGAACCACTGAGTGAAAACAAAACAGTTAATTGTGATAGTAATTTTTATTGCTACAAGCAAATTCTAAAGAAACAAGTGATTTTTTACAAGGTTTTATCAATCATTAAACATTAAAACGTTCACAAGTCTGATCGCACTCCAAAGCCTAGCCCTTTTGATGGCTCAGTCAGTGACGTCAGACCACCAGCAGGTTCACGCCAGAACCGACCACTCCTGAAAAAGAAAACCACAACCAACGAAAGAGTGAATACAGTTACCATGGACGTAAAGTCCCGAGGGGCGCTTCCCAAAAAATTGACTCCAGTGCTCGCTGTACTTTTTAGGAGGTACAATTTGTGAACTTGTACTGTTCAACCTTTTTCTCAGGGGTTTTTCCATGGAAATCAGGAGGGGGCAGGATTTATCTTTTTCCTCCTCCCCCATTTTTCAAGGGATAAGCCCTAGAGACAAGCTTGGGTACTGCTCAGGGTCTCAGAACCCAAAAGGGATGCTGCTGGACAACCTCAGACCCCGGGAAGTACCCAACCTCATTTCCAGGGCTTTTCTCTTGGAAAATGGAAAGGAGGGTCCTGGGGATAAGAGCCCAAAAGGAATGCTGCCGAAACAAAGGAGACTTTGTCTGATTGGCTGTTTGATTTTGTAGTATTCAGTCTCCTCACCGCGCGCAAATGAGTAAACAAAGATGGCTGCCAAAGCAAAAGTCCTCCTTCGATCGTTCCTTCAAGATGGCATGTAAAGGTTTACAAAGTGTGATGTCTTTCTCTTAGCCTATAGTACTTATAGGGGCGTTGAAAATAACAAGATTTTTAATACGCGTATATTGCTGAGTGCGTTGCAAAAAGAACTCATCTAAGGCAAAGTACATCAGCTGGGGTGAGAAAATTTCAAATTTACAAAATGCTACAATAAGGAGTCTTTTCTGGAGGAGGGGAAGTATTTTTCCACTTAACTGAAACGTCCTGCTGACCCGGAAAAAACGGAGAAAAGTAAGCTTATTTTTTATGTGGTATGTTTTATCACTCAAACT